AACAACCCAATATATATACTCAAGCAATATTGTATATTCATTGCGTACTCATATAATTATATGACGTATATTCCTAGATAAATACACGTATATGAATATGGTTTAATTAAAATATGTTTTAATTCGCATAAAGATTTGCCAGTCTCATTGAAGCAGTATTTAGCCAAATGTTCTTTGTAGTAGCAGGTTTTAATATGCTTATTATAAGTATGACAGGTGTTACGGTACGTCAACTTAATCATTATAATAATGTTATTACATGAATTAATATTAATGAATTACAATTTACATATTAATGAATTATTAAAATGTACTGTAAAATTAACTGCTTGATCATTATTTCAAAATCTTAATGTTATTAAAAAATGAAAGTACTTTAATAACTAATTTAATAATGTTAATTATAAAAAGATTTAAAATCAAAATATTATTTGTTCTTTTATAATTATAACATTAAATCTTCTCAGGCAGTTTCAAATATGAACAAACCAGAAGAGTTTTTAAGGCAAATAACATTTTCATGCGCATTGTTAGTGCATCTATTTTTCGAGAGTTTTCAAGCGCAACGTCTAATCGACCATAGCACATATATTCATGCTAGTTTGTATGTATAAATTCAATTTTGTATTTTAGAAAATATACTTAAATGTACTTTTGTAGAACACATATCTAATATTAATAATATAGACATATGTATACATTATAAAAGTAAACTATAAAGCAATATAGAAAATTTTATAATAAATTTGGTAAAATTCTTGATAAAACACTTATCTGATAAAATAATCAAAATCCATTTGTACTTATTTTCAAACTAAATAAAAAAAAAACAAAAATTCTACTAACTAAAAATTAACTTTCAATATGTTCTAAAAATAATACAAAATATTGTATTTTGTTTGCAGAATGAATATAGCATGGTATCAAACTTCGGCTCGAACAAGGAAAATTTTAATTTTTATGCTAATGAAGACTCGAGAACCTTGTGTACTAACGGCAGGAAAAATGTTTGTCATATCCATGGATACTTTTTCTACGGTAAGACATATCTAATTTTATATATATATATATATAT